CATTTGAAAATGAAACATCTGCCTGTTGCCTGTCTTGTTGCTACAATATCTTTTTTCAGCAGACTTGTTTATAAAATTCACATTATCAAACAGTGTTGAAAGATTCCACATTTCTGATGCGTTACCATGTTTCTTATCTATCCAGCAACAAACACCCTGATTATCCAAAGGCAGGTGCCATACACACTGCTCAGCAACATCACGAGTTGCAGCCACACTCTGGCACTTTTCTAAGAGTTTACTGGCTGACCACTAAATAATCCAAATTAATTGGGCTCTGATCAGTTAAAACACCCCCAGCTGCAGAGCACATGCACTATTCATACCCAGAGATCTGAGGGCTCTCACCAGACATTTTGATGTCCCCCTGGCATGGGAGGACAGCTTGGGGACAGCTCTGAGGGCACCAGGCACTTGCCTTCAAAGCCATTTGGCAGCTCCCTGTTCTCGCTGCCACAGAAACATCGATCGCAGTCCTACCCACGGAAACCTTTGGCTTTTCTAAAAGTCTTATTTAATTATTTATCACTGCTTGCTGAATAAAACATAGCACCTTCTGCAGCTGAGGGACCCTCCACGTGACACACATGGGATTTCCAGGCCAGGCCTTCCCCAGGCACAGCGTGTGCTCACGGCTGGGGATTGGGATGAGGCTCCTTGGAGGGGAAGGGGGAGAAGAACTCTGAATATTTGGGCAGTTTGCTGGAAAGTGAATTTAAAAGCTATTAATGGAAGGATCCATAAGGTAACAATGCACTCTGGGGGACACAGGAATGATCCCAGAGATGGGTATTTCCTGATAGTGTTTTGCACCATGTTTTCTTCATAGGGCATCAACTTTTGGCCAAAAAATCCATGCTTACAACACTAATTTAAGCTCACTAAGATCATGTTATAGCTGGTTCTATTCCTGTTGTGCTTGTCAAACACACATTTCCAAGCCATCTGTTGGCACTGCCGGCACTGCTTGCTGTAAATGCTCAATACAGACATTTAAGGAAACATTTAAGGAAAACTTTAGTCATTTCTGTGTTTCCAGCACCTGACCTCGAAGCTTTGCCCTGTTCCGCTCTCATCCCAAGGCTCCTGTTTTCCCAGATGATGTCACCTTGACAAGCTTTTTGGATTCAATTAAACATGGCAAAACATTGACACTATTCGTATCAAAATCAAGTGCAACTTCCAGCTCCAAATTGCCATGAAGTCCTGAATCTGTGCAAACCCAGGTATTTCCATGGCAACGGCCAGGACACCAGGAGGGGAGGGGATGATATTTTGGCAGCAGAGAGGGGAGGTTGGGTGGGGAGGAAGGAGGACTGAGGCATATGGACTGAGAAGGGAGATGTGAGGAAGGGGAAAGAGCAGCACAAAACCTGCTCTGGGGATGAAGGATCCAGCCAGGGGTTTCTGGAGCATGAGAGCACTCGTGCACCCCTTTGCTTTTATCTTTAAAAGGAGAGGAAATGGTCCCCAGTGATCAGTGATGCTCTTCAGAGCAGATCGAAGCAGGCAATCCAGAAATGCTGCATGAAGGATGTCTGAGTACTCCTGGTTCAGGAACAGCTGAAGAGGATTGCCCTGGGTGCTTGGGAGACATCAGAAGGTCCCTCTGCAAACAGCAGCTTTCACTACCAACCTGCAGCTCATCATCCTCATTTCATCCTCATCTCCATCTTGCCTGAGCACTTTTGACAGCTACACAAAAGCCTTTTTCTTTTTTTTTCCATGAACTGGCCTTGAGAACACTTAAAGCTCTCAACATTAATTTTTCAAATCCTAGTAGCGTTAAATTAATTTACAATTTTCTACCAATCCAGAATGAAATAGCTGGCACTGACACCCGCAATCTCCTATTTTGGAACCACGGGCACATAGAAAAACAAACCCAAGCTGCAAAAATATTGCTCTTACCAGTGATTTGTGTTATTTAGCCACAAACCAGGCAATGTGGTTGCGAAGCGGGGGCTTCATTTAAAGGGTGGGAGGAAGAGACTCACTGTTGTCCCCATGATACATGATGAAGGAATTAGTCAACAGCTACACAGTGACAACCATTCAAGCTATTAAAAACAAACAATACATCTGATGGAAGACAAACAGGCTGTGGTCAAATACAATTTTTAAAAGAATTCTAAGAACAGGCAGCAAAATGTTCAATCCAAGCTCAGCAGTTTCTGACAAGTAAAGAACTAAAGCTGCTTGCTGAGTGGCAAGTTAAACATAAACTAAGTTTTTGCAGAAGAATAACCAAGATGACTGTTTACTTTCATATTCCATTCAGCTTTTCACTCAAATCATTTTCCAGGCACACACAGTACAGGTGTATTGCACAGGTAACACCTGCTTCCCCACCCACTCCTCTGTGCAATGCAATTACCTGGAGGCAGTTAAAAATAGACCTCCTCTATTAAAAATGAAACTTGTAAAAGAAGAGGAGGAGCACAGGCTCAATGAGAATATTTGTAGTTGAAAACCCAAACCCCTTCAAGCCTGGGTATTTCAGGCTCTTGGTTTGTAAAGAAGCCTCATTCCATCTGATAAAAGCTCTAAAAAAAAAAAAAAAATCAGAGAATATTGGTTATGCTTCTTACACTGCATAACAGGAAACAGGATTCCTTACAAAGTCAGTCTTCTCTCCCTTCCTTGCAGCCTGCTGACAAATAGTCAATTCTGCAGCTTCCGGGCTTAGTTTGATTTACTGTGACCATATGGGAAGGGGGAGAGGAAGGAGACAGTGAGAGATAACACAACTCATCTCAACATGTACATCCACTGCAGCGCAGGACTGCTTCAAAATAAAATGCATTAACCATGGCAACAGCCCAATACCGAGGGCTGCTGGCTCACCCAGTGCTCTGGGTAATGTCAGTTTACTGTTTATCATCTCCCTGCTCAGATCAGACCTCGCCTTCCCAGTGTTTTACTCACTCAGTTATGGCACTGGGATGACAGATGTGGCACAGCTCCCCAAGGATGATCCCTGGCTGTCCCCTGTCTCAGCAGAGATCACCTGCACTGAGGGCCCCAGCAGCTCACAGAGAGTCATGACTGAAGCAAAACCAGACATGGTCTAGCAACATGAGAACACACAGGTTTGCGAAAGGTAAAAATTCTGGGAGTGGGAAAAAAACCCAGAGGTTTCTGCAGTTGGTCCTTTCTACTGCTCCTTGGAGTCTGCACAAGCTCCTGACTTAATGTGGGGTCAGGCTAGGAGAGGAAGAAAAACCAAAAGCATGAGCAAAACAAGCCTAATGAGCAGGGAGCAACAGACACAAGAATGTCCCACCTGCTCCCAGTTTCAGAGATGCTGCTAAATAATTAATTACATAATTTACAGGATCATGTTTCCCCAGGTTTTTTTCATTCCTACCAGAACAAAGCCCAGGTGGAGAGCACAGAGCATAGGTCCCCTGTGGAATTTCCCCACCTGTGTGGCTGTGGACACCAGGCAAGGAGAAACCCCCAAAGAAAGGTTAACCATGTGGTACCTGTGTAGGCAGAGAACCCACGTCCACACCAACATCCCAAGGTGGAGCCCAGAGTGATGGGACCAGCAGGAAAAAGTCTGTACTCTGTATGAGCACTAATGGGCTGCTGGAGAGATCCCAGAGTGTGTCAAACAACCCCACCACAGCACCAGGGCAGAAGGGCTTTCCCCATGCACCCCTCCCTCCTTCAGGCTTTACTAACAACTCACCAAACCCACGTTTACCTCCCCAAATGCCCGTGGGAAGGGCATGTCACAAGCCCAGCTCTGCTCCCTGAGGCACGAGCTGCACCTTCTCCCAGCACACGGCCCTGGGAGGGAGGGAAGCCGGGCACTGAAGGCCAGCACGTGAGATGCTCACGGGCAGCGAGAGCCCACAGAGGCACAGTGGGCTCTGGAAGAAGCTCCCAGCTGGGAGCACAGCCCTCATCTCCCACCCCCAGCGGCAGCCGACGCTCAGGCCGTTGTGTCTCTGCGCTCAGGAGCAGCCACAGACAGTAATAATGAGATGGCAGCTCCATCCTCGACGCTAAATAAATGTCATACCCTTTTCCTGCTTTAATAGCCGTTGCCCAGGCAACGGGTAGTATTCCTTAGCACCACACCCGGCAGAGGATTAAAGGTGCGAAGTGGTCTGGATGAACAACACTGTCACCTTCCCCAGACCCACCACCCACAGGTCTGGTTCACATGACCCCGAGCAGTGTCTTCCACTTCCCGGAGCCCCTAGGGTGGGTATTGAGATGCTCATAAAAGCAGAAACAAAACATCACTCATCCCCTCTCCGGTATCCCGGGAGGATGACCTGCAGGGACAGATCACGGGCAGGAGGTGACAACTGCTCCCGGTGACCCAGCGCTCCAGCACAGGACAGGACTCGGCTCCTGGACGTACTGTGGGCTCTCGGGGTAACACCACAGGGGATAAACACGGAGCTCTGCGCTGGCGGAGGAGCTCGAGGCAGCCCAGCATAAAACACGGTCTAAACTACCAGAGTTAGAGATGACTGAGAAGAGGGAGCAGATGGAGATGCAAAATGCCATCACGCTGCACTGGGCACACACGTGTCCACCCCCCTTTATCCCGGCCAGGGTCCCCAGCACCCGCCGCCCTGCCGGGAGGGCTCGTCCCATCCCCGCTCCCGAGGGAAGGATGCAGCACCGGGAGTCGCCCCTTTTTCCCTGCGGAAAATCCCAAGTTGTGGTGTGCTCTGCGCCCAGGCAGAGGCGATTTTCCCAGGATGCGGGGCGCTGGGATGCCGGGCACTGACGCCGCAGGGATGCTCCTCCGCCCGCCGGGACTCGCAGCCGCGCCCGGGTGGGCTGATAGCCCCGGGGTGGGCTCTCGGCCCCGGTGGGGACTGGGATTTTTTTTGGGGGGGTGTTTAACCCGCGTCAGCAGCAGAGGGAGCCCGGGATGCCGCGGGCGGGCGGGCCCGGGGCTTCCCACGGGGAGGTCCCCGCGGGGCACCGGGCCGGGGGTCGGGGGCTGCTCCCGAGGGTCCCGCACCCACCTCCTTCTTGACGGTGCGCAGCAGCCGCTGCCGGGTCTCCGCCTCTGCGGGGAGAAGAGGAGAGAGAGGCCCGTTAGTCCAGTCCGGCCCCGCCGCCCCCATCCCCGGTCCCCCCGTTCCCATCCTCACCCGCCGGGGCCGCCGCCATGGCCCTGCTCGGCTCCGCAGCGCCCGCAGACTGCCGGGCACACCGGGACGGGCCGCCCGACCGCCCGCCCCGCTGGGGAGGGGCCGCCGCCGCCGCCAATCCGCGCCTGGCACCGAGAACCGAGCACCGGGCACCGGCACCCCCGGCACAGCCAGCACCGAGCACAGAGCCCCGGCACCGGGACCCCCGGCATCCCCAGGACTCCCGGCAGCGGCACTCCCTGCACCGATCCCCGGGCACCCACAGCACCCCCGACACCGGGCACCGACACCGATAGCACCGGGCACCAGCACCCCTGGCAGCGGCTCAACCTGGACCGTACCCTCACTGGGGTCCCAGCCATCCTCCAGCTCCCAGGGCACACCACCGCCACCAGGCACCCCCCAGCCTGGACCCCTTTCCCCCCAGCCAGGCCCCAGGGGACCCGAGGCCGAAGTGCCCCCAGGAGGTGGCAGCTGGGTGACACGGGACAGGGAGAGCCCTCGGGGTGTCCCTGCACACGGGGTTGCTGGGGCAGTGTCCATCCTTGGACTGGGGGTCAGGGCTCTGTGAGTCCAAAGGAATGGGGAAACACCCATGTGCTCACAGCCCCACACCATCCAGGCATGCTCCAGGGACCAGAGGAGACCAAGTCATCAGAGACCCCCTTCTCCTCCTCTCAAAAATCACAGCTCCTCGGAAAGTGCCCTGCCTGCAGCTCCATCTTCTGTTTTCCTCTTCCCTCGTTTGGTGTTCCAGGACATTTCCATAGAAACAGCATCCCGGCTCCTCCGCAGTCCAGTTTCCAATAACTACAAACTGTATTATTGCGAGGGCAGCGGTGCCTGGCCATGCTGCACGTGGGCACAGGGCCACTGGCACAGCCCCGCTGGCCCTTTCTGCCATGGGGACTAATCCTGGCATGGGCAGCAGGGATGTGCTCCCACCTCTGCCATCCCCCTGTGATCTGCTCTGCTGCTCCTGAAGCTGGGCTGCACCCTCTGCCTCGGAGGCTTTCCCTTTGTGCTGATGCTTGGTGGCTCTGAAGACAGCAGAAATGATGCTCCCAATGGTTCCCCTCCACTGCCTGGACTGGCAGGAGAACAGGAGGGACCTCTGGACTCAGAATTAATCTGAATTCAGTCCTTTTTGTATGTTATAGGGGCCAGGAGGAGACCTGGGTCATATCACTTGAAGAGGAAAACCTATTTCCGTGTCCTCTGTTTGCTTTTCACTGTTTATTTCCTTGTTAAGTACCTGTTAACAAAGGTGGTGGCTGTACAAATGTTACTAAGTTGCAGCAACAGGCACAGCTTGATTGGCAGCATGTGATCCCTGATCCAGATAGATCCCAGAAAGATTCTAGGATCCATGGGAATCTGGCCTGGGCAGCTCTGGGTGCTGCTGGTGGGGTCACAGCTCCCCTTTGCAATCACTGAGTGTTTACTTGACCCTCAGAATTCTGATCCCAGCCCAGAGAATCACCCTGGCCTAAGGCTGTGCCACGCTGGGGACTGTGTGCCTGGTTTGTCCCTATGGCTGCAGCTCTGCTCCTCATGGACACTGGCTGTGGCTCTGCTCCTCATGGACACTGGCTGTGGCTCTGCTCCTCATGGACACTGGCTGTGGCTCTGCTCCCCATGGACACTGGCTGTGGACCCACGGGGCAGCAAGCCCAGTGCCGCTCTCACAAGCTGCACCAGCACATCCCCTCTGCCCAGCAGCCTGTGCCAGGGGTCTGTCCATGGAGAGCCCTGTGGTTGGGGTCCCCTTTCCCCAAAAAGGGGTGTGGGACGAGAAGGACCAAAGACACAGGAGCCCAAGGCTTTCCTGGTCTGACCCGAGACCCACAGCCCAGTCAGGAGCTGGCCCCGACCAGGGGCTCCAGCCTTGCTTGTAGCTCTGCCACCCTGCCTGTCACTTACTGCTGACCACAGGCCCCACAGTCTGGACAGGCAATTAATACACACTAATAAATACCCATAATGACGTGTCCTGGCCTCATCAAACACTGTGTGGGAGCACCATGAGATAGCAGTGAGTGCAATTACCAAGGCACAGACAGTTCACTCACGCCCCTGGCCCTGAATTTTCCCTGGGGCACAGCAAAGCTGTGGCTCTGCATACCTGCAGATGCTGGCACGGAGAAGGTGCCAGGTTCCTGAGGAGCTGGGCACGGCACCGTGTCAGGTACAGCCTGGCACAGCTCCAGTCTCTATGAAGCTTCTCCAGCCCAGGATGAGGGTCTGACCTAAACCTGCCATTCAGGAACAGCCCTGTTACACAGGGGTAGTAAATCACTAATTTATTACCTTCCTTTGGGGAAAAATCAGCTGAAAGAAGCACAAGGACAAGCTCTCCCCAAGCCTTGCTAATTCCTTTCCCTTGGAATATTTTTCTTCTCCCTGGATTAAGGACAGGTGGGAGATGATTGGCCCCTATTTTCTGGAGCCTGGAGAGCTTAAATGAGAGCACGTTGATCTATACTTAATGGGATTAAGTTACATCTCTGAGTATCATGCTAATTAAATTAAACTTCCCACTGCTGCCTCTGCACCTTAAACAGGATAGTTGTTTTAAGAGCACAACTCGCTCCTCTGCATTTCCCTGCACGGATGAGCAGGTGGGATAAAAGCAATCTGCTAATCAAGTCATTGTGGTGTTTGGAAGCAACTTCTAGTGCAGTGGATATTCAAATTTAAATCTGATTTGAGCTGGATTCAAACTGTTTTCAGTCTAAGGTCACTTGCACTTTGAATAAGGAAAATAACAGGGAAAAGCAGAAATAAACAGAGTGTGTCTGTGTTGAGACAGCATGATATTGGAAGAAATTCTTCCCTGTAAGGGGGGTGAGGCTCTGGCACAGCTTGCCCAGAGAAGCTGTGGCTGCCCCATCCCTGTAAGTGTCCAAGGCCAGGTTGGATGGGGCTTGGAGCAACCTGGGATAGTGGAAGGTGTTACTCCTCATGTCAGGGGGTGGAATGGGATGAGCTTTAAGGTCCCTTCCAAACCAAACCATTCCATGATCTCCCCAAGACACCTCTCCCCCGCCCTCCTCCCGTCTCCAGCAGCCATGAGAACCTGCACTGCTCTTTCCACCTTGCAGCTTCTAAAACAAAGGGAGATTTCAAAGCTCTGCCCTCATTGCTTTGACAGCGCAGCCCTGACCTGCTGCGGAGGGACGGCGGCACGGGTGGGGGGCCAGGTGCCCCAGGAGAGGGTGGGAGCTGGGGGAGCAGGATGGGAGCATTTATGGCTCATTCCCCAGCGAGGACCTGGGGGATCTATCAGGGATGGAGGCATTGAACTGACGGTGCAGCACACTCCCTGGGCTGGAGCGGAGCAGCAGCGGTGCCTGGGAAACAGATACCGGGCAGCGCCTCAGCACAGGGAGCTTTCAGACAGCAGCGGGCACATCCCTGTGCTGGCAAAGCACTGCACAGCTCCAGCTTGGAGCTGCTGTGGGAACAGCTCCAGCTGTGCAGGGCTCACACTGTTCCTGCACACCCAGCTCTGCCCAAGGAGGGAGGACAAAGCCCATCCCGTGTGATTCAACAGATCAGTGTGGGGAATAAAGGGGGCTCTTCAGGAGAGAAAGTAGTTCAGTTTTAAAAGATGCCAAAGTTTGAACAGCTGCTTCTTCACACCAGGAAAGGTGTGAACCTGTGCTGAGGGTGTCCTTGCTCCACACAGACCCCTGCAGACCCCCACAGACACCCACAGTTCCCCTCAGACCCCTCAGCCAGCTCCTTCAATCAGGCCTGGCAGTGACTGAGTCCATCTGCTGAGCCTTCCTGAGCAGGGGCAGGACCAGGGGACAGGAGAGTCTCCCCCTTCGTTACACAGAGCCATTCCATGTAAACCACACAGAGAAAAGAAGGGTCAGCAACGGAGAAAATGCTATTATCTATTATTTTTTACAGTTGCTATGGCACCAGCTGCCTCTGTTCTGTCATTCATGCTTGAGCTGGTCTTTGGTCAGGGTGTTAAACCCTGCTCCCCCAGCACGCTCCACAGGCAGATCACACCAGCAGCAGGGATTTCTCACCTTCATCCCAAAGCCTGGGACAAGGGCAGCCCCTCTGGCAGCCCCCGCGGCCCCCACCGCTGAGCACAGCCTTGGCTTTCATCTCCACACCTGCACTGAAGGACTGGGACTGGAATCCACGGCTCTGCAAAGTCCCAGGAGTGACACAAATCCTGTATAAACCGCAGGAGATTAACTGTCCCTCACCTGTGTGCTGGGGCTTAGCTCAGGGAGAGCTGCAGCAGGGCTCATGGAGGGGGGGTTGATGGTGGAGGGGCTCTGTCTGGCTGTGGTGGGACCCCCCCAACCTTCACTCGCTCTCCACTCAGAGCAGAGACCATCCTGACACCATCCAACCCAACCCCTTCACTTGGGGTAAAGTCTCATTGCTCCTCGTAAACCCATAAGCAGAAAACTGTTGTATTTCAAAGGAGAGGTGTTAAAGGAACAATAATTTCCTGTTAAAGGAACAGTAACTTTGGGTTCCACAGCACGGCAGGAGAAGCCTGTAGAGTGCAGCCCACCCGGTGTGGGGATTGATGGGACCAGAACCCACACCTGTCCCTGCCCACTGGGAGGGGGCAGCCCAGGGCTGGTCACTCCAGTTCATGCTCCCCACACCGGGTCAGGGGACACCCAGGGGCACATGGTGAGGTGGAGGGGGCAGCCAAATGCAGGTGGGGTGGTTCATTCGGACAAAAACATCCCCTTCCCAGGCTCTCAGGATCACTTTGTGCAGGTGGGTGATGCACCATGGCAGAGCTGTGTCCCCTGCTGCTCCTCCACAACCAGGGGTGTGCAGATGTGGCACGTAGGGACATGGGTTAGTGGTGGCCTTGGCAGTGCTGGGGGAACAGTTGGACTTGATGGTCTTAGAGGGCTTTTCCAACCTCAGTGACTCCATGGTTCTGATTCCATCCCATGACAGCCCAAACAGTCGGGGCCAGAATAATAAAAAAATAAAATGTGTTTTTAACTGGAGGTTTCTGACGGGTCTCCATGTGTGTGTCTGAGGGATTAACAGTGTCCAGAGGCTTCCCATGCT